ACTGCCACCTGCACAGCGACCGGCAGGCCACCTCCTGCGGCTTGCTGCCCCAGGCACACGCTTGGTGCGCTGGTGCCTGGAGCTGCCCCTGTTTGATAGACAAGTTATTTTAGAAAATATTGTGGATGAAATCCTGGCCCCATTTAGGTCAATAGCAAATTGCCCATTGGCTTTGATAGGGTCTGCATTTCACCCTATGTGTTTATTTAGATTTCTCTTTTCATCAGGATAGAGGAATTGGCCTTGAAAGCAAATATCCCAGAGTGACTCTAAATATCTTATTTTTTATGTATCTGCACTTAAAATTGCTACCAAGCCAATGGGCTCACTTGGTTCTAGACCATTCACAGTACTTCATATATAGGAGTGTCTGTATCTATTTCCAAACCTGTTTTAGTACTTTCCATATATTTTTACATTTCTGTAACACCAACTTTTCTACTGTTTATACCCTGTATTTTTTTTCCTTGCAAATACCTAACTGACTTTTGAGTATGTTCAGAGCTGAAGTTTCTGTTGCTGCTTTGTCATATCTGTTTGGCAAAATGCGATTTTTATTTTTTTATAATTTCAATTGATAATATCAATGTTTATTTTTAAGCATTTTTCTATTTTTATTTATTTAAATTTTCACAGCTGTGCAAAATTATGGATTTTATACTTTTTTCAATTTTTTATCAATTTAAAGTTTCACGTTTGCAGGAAATTATGGGGGATCAGATAATGAGGGAGTCAGACAATAATTTAATTACAGTAGACACTGAGATTCAAAGAATTAAAGCTTTATAAGGATTAAAACACAAATTGTCAACATCACATAAAAATATACAAACTAAATATAGCTCAGTGGTTTGAACATTGGCCTGCTAAACGCAGCATTGTGAGCTCAATCCTTGAGGGGGCCACTTAGGGATCTGGGGCAAAAATCAGTACTTGGTCCTGCTAGTGAAAGCAGGGGGCTGGACTCGATGACCTTTCGAGGTCCCTTCCAGCTCTATGAGATAGGTATATCTCAATATATTATTAAATAATACACTAATAAGTTCTCAAGCAACACTGTTCTTACTTTGCCTATCTGTAAATTTCTATTAGCGATGTAACTTTTTTTTGGTAGTTTGGGTGTGTTCCCAAATCAACATTTACCAATAAAATCTAATCCTCCGAGGCCTAGACTTATCTAAGGCCTTGTGTGACAAGCAGTTCCAGACACTGGTTTTTCTGAGGTAACCAAGGCCTTTTGCACAGTCAGTCATGCTATATGGATTGATAAATTGTTGTGTCCTGAATTTGGTCATTCTTTTTGATTGGGACCAGGAATTATGACTGACACATTTCAGAGTGTCAATTTTTAAAAATATATTGTCTCTCTAAAATGTCCTTCAGGTTTGGGGATTGTACATTTGAGTCTGGTATCAGCACAAACATGTAATGGTTTTCATTATTAAGAGTGATATTGGGTTATCATTCACCTTTCTAGTCTCATACTAGGTTGTACTTCTTCAAAATGGGGGCGGGGGTGGGAAGAGCAAATAATTTTTAAAAGCTTTCTTAATTTCCCAGTAAGCATTAAAGACAATGTAACAATGAAAAGGTGTGGCTTTTTGCTGGTATTTAGCAGCCTAAAGGTCACATGCAGTGACATACTTCTCCTTAAAGAAGAGGAAAAGCTCAGGATCCCTATCTCCATCTAGTGAAGAGTGTATCATGATCAGTGGAACTGGAGTCAGAGGGCCCATGTTACCTAAGGACACTGTCATTGAGGGGACACCAGGGAAACGGAATAGAGGGAGTTAGGCTGGAAGTAACTCAGCCACATGGACAGAGAAATGCACAGGTTTAATAAAGTTCTAATTGTTCAACTTTCACTGCATTCAGCTTCATGCTTTGTGAATGAAACACAGTGATAGTGTCTGAGCTGTGAGTTTTCTGCAGTACAACTGGTAGCATGAGCCATGGAGCTCAGAATGAAGCCCCTGGAGACCTGGATTTTGCAGACACAAACCTAGCCCAGTGATGATCTGGTGGAAGGAGGAATTTGAGCTGTACACAGACCTGGTAATGCAGCAGAATGACAACAGCAGCAAAGTAAAACTGTATTTAGCTTATTGTGGAACAAGGCAGAGAGATCTGCACCACTCTGAAGTTCACCACTGCCTCAAGCTTCACAACCGTCCTAGGAGCCTTGGAGACCTAGGTTGGAGGCGAGCCCAGGATTGTTGAACCTGTAGGTGCACAAGACTGCAGCATCTGTGTTTGCTACCGGAGAAGCCCCAATATGCATCTCCCTCTCTGACTCCCGGGCCTTTCTCCAGCCCACTCTTTCTTTTTTCATATTTTCCACTCATGGTATCATTAGAGGATGGAGTTAAGGTTGTTTTGTACTTTGTGTAATGCTATACCTTAATATGTTTGGATTTCTTTTAAGTGTAACCTTAGCTGTGAATTTCCTGAAAAGGAAACTTTTTAGAGGCCAAGGAATGGCATGAGGACCTTTGAGCCTAGGGTAAAATACACACAGCTAGAGATGGTGTAGACAACCACTGCATCAACAAAGAAACCAGGATGCCCCTGCTGAGGGGTGACTATTAGAGCCCAAATAAGCTGAAGACTCAGCTCAGGAAAGGAGCAAAGGTTTTGTGTTGTACAGCTGTTTATTTCAGAAGAAGAAAGGATAGACTTTGGATTTTCACCAGAGTCAAAAGCACAACAGTGGCCTGTAACCCTGTGAAAGACACCAGAGAGGGAAACTGAGGGTCCATACTGTTGGTTAATGGTGGAAAAGACAGATGTAAGAGAGACTCCATTACAAGCACTCTAGTTTCATTAAAGGATTTTGTGATTTGTTCATTTGTTTTCTCTCTCTCAAACATGACCTTGCTGGGGAGTTTTAGCTGCTAAGTTTCCATCACATCAGTGAGTTGTTCTAGATTTCGTTCTGATGGTGAGCCACGTACATTCTGGGTGTATCTTATGGAGGCTCATGTAGCCTAAAAATATCACCTTTTCAGCAGATTCTTTTCAGTCGCGAAATTATGAGTTTAGATAAAGAATGAATACAGTAGCCTTGTTTACACTTCATTGTTGTACAAGTTCTCCAAGTAAATCAGCAGACACTTCTCTTGTGGGATGAACTGAACAAAATCTGCAATTGTTATTCAAAATGATTGCCTTCTCTTTTCACTTTTGAATGCTGTGGTTGCAACTGCAGAGTTTACGTTGTGTAAATGAAGCCCTTTCTAGTAAGAAAACTGAGTCCACTGCTGTCATATACAACATATGTGCATAAGAACATAAGAACGGCCATACTGGATCAGACCAAAGGTCCATCTAGCCCAGTATCCTGTCTTCCAACAGTGGCCAATGCCAGGTGCCCTAGAGTGAATGAACAGAACAGGTAATCATCAATGATCCGTTCCTTTGCCCATTCCCAGCTTCTAGCAAACAGAGGCTAGGGATACCATCCCTGTCCATCTTGGCTAATAGCTAACATTTTTCAAGCAACAAGTATGTATAAAACATTAATGAACATTGTCTTGGAACATTATTTACTATAGTACATGTGATATAAGGATTTGTGAGTTGTAAAACTTCTGTTCAGCTAGCTTTACCTGTGGCACACTTGTCCTTAACAGACTAAGAACTACAATTTACTTTCATTTCATATAATCATACCAAGCTTTTGGGAAAATTGCCACGTGCCTTGGAACTCCCAGGGGTACACTTTCTCCCAGTACAATGCTTATCATTGCTAGAATGTGCCTAATATGCATAATTAATTCTTTGATTTTATTTCTTCTTGTGGCTTGAACTTTATCCCTCTCTTTTTTTCCTAAAACAAACTTAGATGATTCTTGGTATATAGCTTGGAACATCATCCCAAGGTTGCTTACAGGTTACTATGGGAGGAGGAAAAAAATAAGACTGGTATGGAGTAAAGGATGCACAGAAAGAAGAGGAGTGGTACAAGGATGGTGTCTTATGATGTGTTAGAGATGTAAAAGAGACATTGAAATATAAGCAAGAGGAGCATTCAGTAAGGTAGGTAAAGACCCAAAGGATGCCAGTGTTAACTCAAGAGGGGAGATGATTTGAGGAAGGAAAGTATGGTTTATAATGTTTACACTGTTCAGCCAAGAAACTGAAGAGGGATAAGAACAGGAAAAAAGGCAATTAGATTTAGCTTATGCCAGGTCAGTGGAGTCTTTGAGAGCAATATCAGGCTACTGGAAGTGGACAAAGAGGAAGTGAACATAGGATTTTGAAAGAATGGGAGTAAAACTGTTCATCTGAAGTAAGTGGAACAGGAACAGAGAAATTAAATGGGCTGGTAGTTGAAGAGGCTGAGGGAATTAAAATAGGGTTTTAGCTGAGTGATAGTTCAAAATTCTATTTTAATAAAACATACTTACTACAGATAATTTAAAATTTTTATAGAGGTTGTTATGAACAGAATAAATCTATCATAATGCAGTTTAAGGTTTGCAAAATCTAAAGTGAAACTTAAAAAAATCATTATCTGCAGTGCTTTAAAAATAACTAGGTGTACAGTAATGCAAATAATAAAAACTAAAATATGGTAATAGAATTTATGGAAAACAAAAAACCCACAATGGATAAGTATAGTTAGCATTATTCCATTTCTCATCTTTAAAGATGGTTGTAATTTAACCTGTTCCTTTTAATATGTTCACATTATAAATGTTGGAAGGTTTTTTTAAATAATGTATGTTGTATTTTTGTGTTTAAAAAGACAAAATGTATATAGGGATTTAATAAACACTTAAAAGATATAGTTCTAACTTGGCAGAAAAGGAGTTAAAAGTTGAACCATCTGAGGAAGCAATCGGAACATTCCATTACCCATATGAGAAAGGGGGTGGGGGGATTTTTTGCAATCAGTTGGTTATTTGACAATATTTTTTAAACAAAATTTCAAACGACTTAGTGAACTTATAGTTATAAACCATAAGAGATAAATCTGTAAATTAAAATAAGCAAACCTGAGGTAAAATTCTAAGGGACGTCTCTCTCCCCTTTTTATAGACAAGCTCCAAGGAACAGATGGGTCAGTCTGGCTGCAGTGGTTCTAGGCACAAGACAACATTGACCCTGGTTAGTTCTGGGCTTGCAAAGTATTTCAAGGTCCTTTTGACCTGCTTAAGTATTTCCTTTCAGCACAATCACAATGCACTTAATAATCACAGCAATGGCTTCCAGTGACAGTCAGGCCTCATTTACCTGAATGAGGCTGGGGAGAAAGAAGGGAAGAACATGATAGTAATTAAGATAAATGTAGCACTGAGAGGTCTTAATATATCTTTGGACCTCAATTATCTAGACATCTCAGGGGACACCCCAAAACTTTGTTTAATCAAGAATTCAGTTACTTGATTAAGTACAAGAATTCAGGGGGAACCATTTTAAAGTGTAAATAATAACTTCACCTGATGTGCTAAAGTAAAATGTCACTAGGCCATTTCAAATCTCTAGGTAGCAGAGTTTTAATGGATTTGGCTAATCAAGATCTTTCTGTGTATAATATTGAGGGACATGTCCAGGTTTCAAATAAATAAAGTAGTTTTTTGGAGAACTGAGGCTAGGCTAATTTAGACCCTGAGTAGCTAGTTTACAAAACTAGGTGCCCAAATACAGATTTAGATGCCTAAATACTTCTTATAGGCATCTGAATGCACTTTAAGAAAGCAAAGTGTTTTAAACTTCCAATTATGTTCTTTGTGATATTTTTAACAGTTCAGCATGGTTTTCTATTATGAAGTGAGATAGCATGGTCTCTCTGATTTACAAGGCAATAATAAGAGTCCCAAGAAAGTGAGGAGTCATGTCCTTCAATCTGTATCTGGAGTGTTTGGGTAACTGTAGCCATTCAAAATGTTTGGGAAGTTGTTGGTGTAACAGCAGCCATTTTATCGATGGTAAACAAGAGCAGAGTTATATTATCATAGGGGGAAAAATGTGTAGCACAATAGATACGTATGATGCTTTGTTGGCAGCTATGAACAAGACAAGGTCCTTATCCTGTGGAGCTTTAAAATCTAAAGTTAAACCAAAATCACAACAAAGAGAACAGACAGAGTGTGTGGGGAAGTAAATGGTAAACAAATGGAGAGGGATAGCCCTTTGTAGTCCCAATTTCCTGCTGCTATATCTTCTAAGAAAATAAAACCTATGTAGAATATAAAACTGCTTCTGTCTGCCAGCGTCTCTTCTAAATACCTGCTGTTTAATAAAACTAATAATTATGAGGCTAGTATTAAATGCAGAGAGACCAAGTACTGAACGGAAGTAGAGACTGAACTACCTTCTCAACCTTTAGAGGTGGTCTCTTCAGGGCTGAGGTATAACAGCAGAGCAGTGCAAGGAAGCTTGAGTTATTGCTGCCCTATTTCATGGATAAATAAGGACTTCAGTCTCCAGTGTTATCAATTTTATGAGCTCTATATTCACACACGCACAAAAATAGCACTTTAGAAAAAGACTCCAGTATGATTTTGCAATCAGAGAGAAACATGTATGCAGACACACATCTGTTATATTATTAATACTGTAACTTGTTGCTTAGCATATATACTGTTGCTAAAACTTTTCTCTTTTTGTTTTGTTTTATCATTTGTGAAGAAAAAAGATATTGTATTTCTTTTTTCCCTGTTAACTTTTTTTTAAAAGTAGAGAGAAAAAAACTACACATAAACTTCTCATAGTATATTAGGCATTTGCTACCTAACGTTAATTATACTTGAAACAGGAAAGATATTTCTAAACCTAAAAGTTAACTACAATATCACAACTACCAGGACAGTTATATATACACCTCTACCCCGATATAACGTGACCCAATATAACATGAATTTGGATATAACGCGGTAAAGCAGCGCTCCGGGGGGGGGGCGGGGCTGCACGCTCTGGCGGATCAAAGCAAGTTCGATATAACGCGGTTTCACCTATAACGCGGTAAGATTTTTTGGCTCCCGAGGACAGCGTTATATCGGGGTAGAGGTGTATATCTATTTATTATTACAGATATACTGAAGTGAAGAATTGTTTCTTTCTGGAAATTGCAAATGAAGATTTCTTTATTTCATTTCAGGCATTTTGGCAACCCCCATATATAGAGGATTTTTTGTGAAATTTTGGGGTGCTAGAGAAATTATATCAAATCTTATGAAGAGCAACCTTCTCAAGAAAGTCTGACAGATATCTCTAAAATTATTTTTTGGAAGAGGACAAAGGTGAGAGAGACGGTAAGAAAAATATTCAGCATTGAAGGAAGCTTCCATTATTGCTGTCCTGTTTAGTGGATAAAAAAGCACCACAAACATGTCTGCCAAACTGAAATAATTTCCTTTTCTCCTTTAAATAAGCCTGGCCAGATTCCTAGGATTACAAAGGCAACATAATAAAATAAAAACATGCAAACTCCACCTTTAATATAGCAACATGAGATATGAAAGCACACAGTAAGCCAGCCTCAAAAATGGAAATATATATGTGATAGAAGAACATCTAAAAGTTCGGACTTCAATTTACATAAGCATCGAAACCTACAGACTCCTATCACTGGGTGTGGGTCCTACAACCCTTGTCTCCATACAATCCTCCTCCCATGTTCATTATGACAGACACTCACTATCACCAATAACCTCCCAATAATCATCTTCCTTCTTTACTTGGTGTTCACTTGTTCTTGAGGAGGATTTGTGGCCTGCTCTGCCATTTAATATCTTTGGCAATCAGGTGCATGCCCCTTCCAACAATCTTTTGGAGCAATCCCTCTCCCCTTCCCCCCCATACTCCTCCTGTCTTTCACATGGACATAAGCAAAAATTATGCTGTTGTGGTACTGCTGAGAATGAGGAGTAGGGTTTAGTGAAACAGGGAACCTTAAGACAGTGGCTCTCAACCTTTCCAGACTACTGTAACCCTTTCAGGAGTCTGATTTGTCTTTTGTACCCCCAAGTTTCACCTCATTTAAAAACTACTTGCTTACAAAATCAGACATAAAAATATAAAAGTGTCACAGCACACTATTACTTAAAAATTACTTACTTTCCTATTTTACCATATAATTATAAAATAAATCAATTTGAATATAAATATTGTACTTACATTTCAGTATATAGTTTAGAACAGTGTAAAACAAGTAATTGTATGTGTCAGAGTTCCCTCCCTACTCTGAACTCTAGGGTACAGATGTGGGGACCCGCATGAAAGACCCCCTAAGCTTATTTCTACCAGCTTAGGTTAAAAACTTCCCCAAGGCACAAATTCTTCCTGGTCTTTGGATGGTATGCTGCCACCACCAAGTGAGTTAGACAAAGATTCAGGAAAAGGACCACTTGGAGTTCCTGTTTCGCAAAAATATCCTCCCAAGCCTCTTCACCCATTTTCCTGGGGAGGCTTGAGAATAATATACCAACCAAATAGGTAAACAAGGTGAGCACAGACCAGACCCTTGGATTTTTTAGGACACTAAAAACCAATCAGGTTCTTAAAAGCAGAACTTTATTATGAAGAAAAAAAAGTGAAAGAAGCACTTCTGTAAAATCAGGATGGAAGGTAATTTCACAGGGTAATAAGATTTTAAACACAGAGGATTCCCCTCTAGGCAAAACTTCAAAGTTACAAAAAACAGGAATAAACCCCCCTCTTAGCATAGGGAAAATTCACAAGCTAAAACAAAAGATAACCTAATGCATTTCCTTGCTATTACTTACAATTTGTAATCTTAGATGCTTATTTCAGATATGGCTTTAGGAGATGTATTTTTTCTGCCCTGGTCACTCTCTGTCCCGGAGAGAACAACAAAGAGACTACAAAACAAAAACCTTCCCCCACAGATTTGAAAGTATCTTCTCCCCTTATTGGTCCTTTTGGTCAGGGGTCAACCAGGTTATTTGAGCTTCTTAACCCTTTACAGGTAAAGGAGGGATTTTATGTTACCCTTAGCTGTATATTCATGACAGTATGGTATTTTAGTTTTTACTGATTTTGTTGGTGCTTTTTATGTAGCTTGTTGTAAAACTAGGCAAAAAGCTAGATGAGTTGATGTACTCCCTGAAAGACCTCTACACACACCCTAAGGGTGAACATACCCCTGGTTGAGAACCACTGCCTTAGAAACACCATGCTAACTATGTGATGAAACCAAGCTATTCCAGTTCAAAACTCAAATGTACTATGAAAAGCTGCTCTTAAATGGTTGTTGAGATCCAGATAGTGAAAAAAAGTCATAAACAAATATTTTGTTTAAGTCATGTATGTGACAGACTTTGAAGAAAACACTTGTAGACTGCTAAATAAATTCAAAGGCACAAACACTGAGTATTTTCATTTGCATCATGTGTAGTCTACACAGCTCTAGTTGTGATGTTCCTTAGTCCAAAAATTAACTGCAGTAGCTCTGAGAATTTTCTAGTTGTCTATTTTAAGCTATTATAGTACTAATAGTGTGCTAAATACTTTTACAGACAAGCTAAAAACAAAGTTGCCACACAGAACTTGCAACCTAAATACAACCTTTTGAAGATAGGTGAGAAAAAATTCTGGTAAAGGAATGATTGTGTTAAAATATTTTCAACTGCAATACAGTCTATAGATGTTTAACATTTTTCCCTGAACCAGCTCACGTATCATAATTTCATATGACTGCTTTTTTGTAAAGAAAACAGATGCAACTATGATAAAATATAAGTTCTGACAAAACGTGCTCTCCAGCTGATCCTTAGCTGATTTACTTTATAAAGTGTTTTTCAAACACAGATATCATTCACTGTATTGTTTTTGCCATCATTGACATGGCACATAAATTCAATTCAAGCACTATCTTTTATACTGGGGTGGGCAAACTTTTTGGCCCGAGGGCCACATCTGGGTATAGAAATTGTATGGCGGGCCATGAATGCTCACAAAATTGGGGTTGGGGTGCAGGAAGAGGTGAGGGCTCTGGCTGGGGGTGGGGCCAGAAATGAGGAGTTCAGGGTATGGGAGGGGACTCCAGGCTGGGGCAGTGGGATGCAGGCTTGGGGATGGGGCTGAAGGGGTTTGGAGTGTAGGAGGGTGCTCTGGGATGGGACTGAGGGGTTCGGAGGGTGGGAGGGGGATCAGGGCTGGGGCAGGGGGTTGGGGCATGGGGGGGGTGAGGGCTCCAGCTGGGGGTGCAGGCCCTGGAGAGGGGCTGGGAATGAGGGGTTTGGGGTGTAGGAGGGTGCTCCAGGCTGGGACCGAGGGGTTCAGAGGGCGGGAAGGGGATCAGGGCTGGGGCAAGGGTGCCGGGGCGTAGCTCAGGGGTGCAGGCTCCAAGCGGCTCCCGGAAGCAGCGGTATGTTCCCCCCTTTGGCTTCTATGCAGAGGCATGGCCAGGCGGCTCTGGTGTGCGCTGCCCTGTCAGCAGGAAAAGAGGGCAACTAGGGGCTTTTTGTGTCTATCTTTGGGAGCAGCTGAGAAGGAAACACTCAAAAAATGCTTGGGAAAATACAGTCTAAAGAGAAAAGATGAATAATCCCTGAGGAAATGCAAGAAAAAACAAGGGCTTTGAACAGAAGAGAGACAGCATTAACTAGACTAATGGAAACTGGAACTTGAGCCTGGAGCAAAGCACAAGATGGTGAGATATAACTCTGGAAATGAAGGGGAACGTGAATGAAAGTACAGAAAAACACTGAGAAACTTGAAGAAATCTATGAATGGCTGTTATATGGGATATAATACAGAATGGATGATTGTCAGGATAAAGTATCTCAGGAACCACAGAGTACATATCATTATTTGATCAATTCAATCACTTAAACCCCTCATAGATGATTAGGAGTTATGGGTCATACCATGGTGCTATTTAAGAAAATTATTTCCTCTAAAATTACAGCAATATATCATATGTAACCAATTATTTTGATTATGTTTGTGCAGGTAATGTACAGACAAAGATACATATATACATACTGGAGTCTCCTCAGGCCAGGGACTGTGTCTTCTTATGTTTGTACACTGCCTAACAGAATTGATGCAATCCTGGTTAGGGCTCCTAAGCATTACTGTAATATAACTGAAACAGTAACAAACATGAGTTTGTAGATTAATACACTTCTAAAAAATATACAAAGATAAACTCCATTAAAATTAAATTCTTAAAATTAACATTGCACCTGTCACTGACCATGATTATTATACTTAAGATTTCAAAACCATTTCCATTATAACTTCTTATTTTCACTCACATATGATTTAAACACAATACACAATCTTCCCCTATTAGACTCCAACATACACGTTTTGAGCTGAATCTTTCCAGGCTTTGTCTCTGTCCAAAGGTAAATTATTTTTGGAAAATCTGAGGGGAAAATCATTTAGACAATTTTAAAATATGGGAGAGTAAAAACAAATGAAGAAACTTTAAAAGTTGGAAAACAAATAAACCACTAAATGGAAAATGGACTTTTCTAAGTTTGAATAATTGGTTTTTTAAAGAATTATGATTGTTTGAAAATTACATATGATGCATCCTTAATTGAGATATTCTTCTGTCTTTAGGTTTTTTGCCTTTTTTTTTGTGAATCTAGCCCATCATCTTCTTGCAAGGGATAGAGGTCAAATGTTTATGCTGACTTTAACAACCTTTGATTCCCTTGATCATGAAGGTGTACTGATTCACTTGCACATCCTGACAGAAAAGACAGAATTACTTTAGTGCTTCTCAGAAAGATCTCAGAGAGTGTGTTAGGAATTTACTTATTAATCCTCATAGCTCTCATGTGGGGCTCCAAAGGATTTGAAATTTGCTTTCCTTGTATGGGTATGTAACTATCATGCAATTCTATGTTTCTTTAATCATAAAACCTAGAGAGTGAGTTTGCTTTTCCAGTGTCTAGCCAATACAATATCTTTGACGGAAAAGATCCATCTGAAATTCAGTCCAGAAAAGACAGAGGTTAGTAAGTGGGGAGGAAGTATCTGGAAGATATGTTGGGGACAGTGCCCTTAAAATTCAGTCCTTCATTGGGCTTCCAAACAAGCCTTGTCCCCTTTTAGGGATTTATAGCACTTCACCAGTGGTTGGTGGGAGAACCTGGGCCTGCCCACTACTTTGGGTTCTAACCCCGAAGCCCTATAAACAGCAGCCACTTAAATTTGTTACTGCTATTTACCTGGGCCTCTTTCCACCTGGCCCCTTTATCTTCACCTCTTACCTCATGGTTAAAGTTCTCAGGTCCTCGCTCTCTGAACTCTGGTTGTCGCTCAAGTTCCTTTGGCCAGAGAGGAGCACTCTTCCTTACCCTTTGGTCCCATTTTATCTGAGCCTGATGAACTCTGGTTTACTGCTTTCATGCAGTCTCTCTAGGCACAACTGAAGGACCCAGCTTCGCTACTCCTTTCCTGGGGTGAGGTGTCGTAGGACCACAAGACCTCCAGGAAGGGGCTATGAAGGGCCTGGTACACCCCATCACAGCATGCTTTTGGATCCTCATATTCTTTTTCTGGATTTCAAAGTTCTTTCAGTGACAAAACTCTTTTCGCATCTGTATCTTGTAAGGTGACTGATCAGTTCTCTCTCATGTGGATCTCCTTACCACTGGCCATTCCCTTAAGACCTTGATATTGGATTACTGCTATGTGCTCTACATGGGCTATCCTTGAAGCTCACTCAGAAATTGCATTTGCTGCAGAAGGCAGATGCCTGCTTGGCTGGAGTATTAGCCACAGGGAGCCCTTTGTGGATGCTCCCAAAGAACATTTGTATAAATACTGATCTTGTGACATCTGGATATCTAAAGGTTAGAATCCACTCCTAATAGGATTATTTGGAAATAACTCTAAACTGAAACTCTGGGAGTTTTGTAGCTTTCTATGTTTTTCCCCTACAGGAGGGCACAATTTGCTCTCTTGAATTATACATGGCTTGAACATTTCACACAAAAAGAAAAATTCTTAATACAGTTGTATTAATGCAAGTTACTAAAATGAGGCTTAGAGCTTCTGGACTGGGGGGGAAAAAAGGTTTTGTAGTTACTTTACAAGAAAAAGAAAATGAATCATTTTGTGCTATGTTATCCGAATTTCCTGTTGCTTGATTATACTAAGGAACTAGTATAAGGAAACTTGCAATGGGATAGAATTTTACACTCAGTTCCTATATCGGAGAAAATAAATGGTCACTGCCAGATTGTAAACCTGAAAATCATAACATAGTTATCTGTACACATATCTTATTCCCTATGCTGCAGGCTACTTTGGCTGGGTTGTTTTTTTTTAATCTGTATCACTGAAAGTTTCACCTGACCTTAAGGTTATTTTCTTCTCAAGATGAATATTCCCCAGTGAATTAATTATATGGTGCAATTATTTGTGCCTGTGGATAAGAGTCAATGCAATAAGCATTACTTTATATTTACATTCTTGGCAAATAGCATTCATCATTGCCTTACTCCTATTCACTACTGTTACTCAGACTTAATACCAAAATCCTCAATAACTTGATAAATTTAGAATGCTAGTTGAGCTACACTGCATTCTACCCATAGAACATATATGCAATGAATTCCCAAAATTGTGCACAACAGTTTTTTAAATTGCCAGCAAGTTTTATTTATTTATTTAAAAATATAAACTGTCTTGTGAGGGCTTTTTATTTATGCAGATATATCAAAGACCTTCCAAAAAATTCTGTGCAGAAATCAGTACATATTACATATGAATTGACTAATCATTAAACAGAAATAATGGTAATAATAAAAAGCTCTTGTATATCACTTTTTATTTAGAGATCTCAAAGCGTTTTACAAAGGAGGTAAGTATCATTATCCTCCTTTTACAGATGGGGAAGCTGAGATGAAGGGAATTACCCAAGGTCACCCAGCAAGCCAGTGGTAGAGCCAGGAATAGAATCCAGGTCTCCTGAGTCCCACTCCGGTGCTCTATCCATTACTAGAGTACACCATGCAGAACTTAAAATGAGGGAAAACTTGAATGGATATGTTACACCAGATCCTGTAAAAACATGGAAAAATTACAGTGCATAGTTATTTTATTCATTCTAACAAGTAATCAGAAAATTAAAGAAGTGTGCACATTTAGAGTGATGATGATCTTAGATTTACAGTGATAATAGCCATACATTTGTCATTTAGAGGAAAAGATGTAGTCTTAACTGCCTTCCACTGACTTCAAAGGAAGCAGGATGAGGCGTAAAACTTTTGCAGACTTATCACCTGCAATTCACTTTTGTTGTAACATTTTGTTTTTATAACTTTCATGACACCATAATCTTTCTTCCTCCTGGACATCAATCATATAACATAATGAATCTATGTATAATAAATTGTTCTGTGGACATATATGACCCAATACTTATGGTTGGACGTGGAGTCCAATAAAGACAATGGACTACAGAGATCTACTTGTATGGATCTGATTCCAGGATCAGGACCTTACTTTATTACTGTAATAACCTTTATATCGAATTGCTTCTAGATAAGTAAAATATATTTAGTTTTTACTTGAGCTTAATTTTACAGTAATTCTGAATCTATCATGTCATAACAATAGTTTCCAAAACAACCGTTGCTTCCAATCCTTTAAATTACTTTTCTGATGCAGATCTAATGTAATAAAATGACAATTTTCCCAAGTGGGGGGTAATAGGTGACTATATAAGAAAAAGCCCCAAATATTGGGGCTGTCCCTATAAAATCGGGACATCTGGTTACCCTAATTACATGTGATGCATAAGCATTTGCAGGATCAGGGCCTAAATGGTTATGTGGAACAAGTGTAGGTAACAAATTTCAGACAAAAGTGTGGTTTAAGTTGTCTGTCCCTTTAAACTTATATATGTTTATCAATATGAAATTAGTATCATCAATACAGCACTAAAGTAAGATATCCCTCCTACTGCCTTCACCTCAAAATATGTAGTTTTTAAAAACATTATATTCCACTCTGACACTATGAACTAGTTTTCAATTTGAGAGGGACAGCCACGTTTTTAAAACGGTGGTGGAGACATACCTGGTATTATTCAAGCAATCATCACATAGAGGTCAGAGAGGATCCAGTTGCATTGCATATAAGAGCAATGTCATGATCTGAAGGCATTTCTCCCATGTGTAAACTACGTCTATCCATAGCCGAAAGGATGCATTCCACGACATTTACAGGTACTTACTGTCCAATTGTATGGTCCAATCCTGCAATCCTTACTCAAACAAGACTCCTATTGACATCAACTGGAGTCTTGTCTGAGTAAGGACTGCAGGATCGGAATCTCAATAGTGAGCAAAAAGGAGGCGGTTAACCCAGCATAAATGAACGACACACACTTCGTACTATCCTGTGGTATGATCACACACAATGCCCGAACAGAAAATAGAAAAGCCTTCTGACTAGGGCTGTTGCCTTCGCCAAAGATTCCTTCACAACACATAATTAGCCTAGTAAAGTCTTTTCTAGGAAAATCTGGCAACAAACATTTCAATTTCCAACCAAGGAGCCTTCACTTCAACAGCAGTCTCTCCCCTCCTCTGCACTTGCTCAAGAAGGCTGATTTTAAAAATCAATTATTCGGTTACCATACTCATCCATACAAAGCAACATTCTCAGCATCTGATGTTTCAAATCCGGCTACAACAGCATCTTAACACACACGGACAAGAACAACAATAAAATAAGATCCAGCAAGTTTCCAAGGTCTGCTAAATCGCAGTCATTCGGAACGGGAAGATTGCCTTCTTTTGGGATTCATTTTAATGCACCTTTTCAAGTACCTCATGCGAGGAAGGATTTTGCAGTCATTTAAAGTCTTCCTTCTCATCAACATTAAAAGAAAATCTTCTTTCAAATGGTGCCCTCTTCACAGATCGCAGGTTCCCTTCTGCTTAGCGCAGGCCTAAGTCCAAACTCCAGTCGGATTCATCTAGATGATAAAGGGAAAAGAAAGAGAAACTCGGAGGCAGAGGAAGGGTGGAGAAAAGGAGAGATAGAGACAGAGGGGGACATCAGCTGTGGCAGCCGAGAGGCGAGACGAGGCAGACGGAGAAGCTCCAGCTGCTGTGTGTTGCAGGGAGGGGAGGAAAGCAGTGGCGGTGGCGGAAACAGGGCTGGCTGGCTGAGTGAACGAGGAGGAGGCAGCAGCAGCGGCGGCGGCAGAGGGAAGGGGGAGGCTGTTGGTGTTTGGCGCCGGTGGAGGGAGTCATTCCTGCAGCTGCACTTCCGGTCGGCATTTTGTTCTGAGAGGGAGAGAGACACACACAGGATCCTTCCCCCTCCTCCTCCCCCCCCCGGCTCGGTACCGACTCACCGTGCCCAAACTACCCCC